AATAGAATAGAATAGAATAGAATAGAATAGAATAGAATAGAATAGAACTTTATTACGGTCATAGACCAGCAATAGACATCACTATTTACAATATGTATAAAAAACACTGACACATTATAATACATTAATAGTGCCAGGTGTCCAAGTAATGAAATCCATATCAAAAGAAAAATAACAAAGTCCATCTTCAAAAAGATTTCTTTTATTTAGGAAAACATCAAATTGGCAAAGTCCATGGTAATTCCAGATCAACCCAAAATTACCCCACAATATTAGAAGTTAGAAACACCCCCCCATAATTCACCTTCTCCAATAAAAGTATTACAACATTGCTTGATGTCATAAATCTCCACCTCCAGGGCCCCAAGCCCGGACAGCTCATTTCCCACGGGAAAGAAGATACCTAGCCATAACGCTCTCTTTATCTCCACTCTTCCCACTTTAGGAGTGTGTCAAGCCCCCAACTTTTCCCCCCATGACTACCACAGGGAAACTAAGAAAAAGAATATTTACTAAGACAAACTAAAATGGCTACACTTATGACAATTTCGGGCTTGACAAATAGTGGATAAAAACATCTGTTAAGAAAATACATGTTTTCAAACAGTTAGGGGCACTCCCTGGTTTATATGAGTGGAGAGCCAATAAGTATATGTGTAAATATCATTTTCCAAAGATTGTTCTATCTCCAAAAATTGACAGTTATAATTCTGTAACCAATTTTTTTTCTAGTAGACATTGCAGCAACACAGAATTTTGCCACTGCACACGTAATAGCTGGGTTTGAATCCTGGAGGAGAAAGTCTACATAAAAATTGTCTGCCCTCCCTGGCAATCTCTCTAGTAAGGGGAGAATATACACTGTTCAAAAAAAATAAAGGGAACACTTAAACAACACAATGTAACTCCAAGTCAATCACACTTCTGTGAAATCAAACTGTCCACTTAGGTAGCAACACTGATTGACAATCAATTTCACATGCTGTTGTGCAAATGGATTAGACAACAGGTGGAAAGCATAGGCAGTTAGCAAGACATCACCAATAAAGGAGTGGTTCTGCAGGTGGTGACCACAGACCACTTCTCAGGTCCTATGCTTTCTGGCTGATGGTTTGGTCATTTTTGAATGCTGGTGGTGCTTTCACTCTAGTGGTAGCAGGAGATGGAGTCTACAACCCACACAAGTGGCTCAGGTAGTGCAGCTCATCCAGAATGGCACATCAATGTGAGCTGTGGCAAGAAGGTTTGCTATGTCTGTCAGCGTAGTGTCCAGAGCATGGAGGCATTACCAGGAGACAGGCCAGTACATCAGAAGACATGGAGGAGGCCATAGGAGGGCAACAGCCCAGCATCAGGACCGCTACCTCCACCTTTGTGCAAGGAGGGACAGGAGGAGCCCTGCCAGAGCCCTGCAAAATGACCTCCAGTGGGCCACAAATGTGCATGTGGCTGCTCAAACGGTCAGAAACAGACTCCATGGGGGCGGTATGAGGGCCAAACATCCACAGGTGGGGGTTGTACTTACAGCCCAACACTGTGCAGGACGTTTGGCATTTGCCAGAGAACACCAAGATTGGCAAATTCGCCACTGACGCCCTGTGCTCTTCACAGATGAAAGCAGGTTCACATTGAGCACATGTGACAGACATGACAGGGTCTGGAGATGCCATGGAGAATGTTCTGCTGCCTGCAACATCCACCAGCATGACCGGTTTGGCAATGGGTCAGTAATGGTGTGGGGTGGCATTTCTTTAGGGGGCCGCACAGCCCTTCATGTGCTCGCCAGAGGTAGCCTGACTGCCATTAGGTACCGAGATGAGATCCTCAGACTCCTTGTGAGACCATATGCTGGTGCGGTTGGCCTTGGGTTCCTCCTAATGCAAGACAATGCTAGACCTCATGTGGCTGGAGTGTGTCAGCAGTTCCTGCAAGATGAAGGCATTGATGCTATGGACTAGCCCGCCTGTTCCCCAGATCTGAATCCAATTGAGCACATCTGGGACATCATGTCTCGCTCCATTCACCAACGCCACATTGCACTACAGACTGTCCAAGAGTTGGGGGATGCTTTAGTCCAGGTGTGGGAGGAGATCCCTCAGGAGACCATCTGCCACCTTATCAGGAGCATGCCCAGGCATTGTAGGGAGGTTATACAGGCATGTGGAGGCCACACACACTACTGAGCCTCATTTTGACTTCTTTTAAGGACATTACTTCAAAGTTGGATCAGCCTGTATGTTTTTTTCAACTTTAATTTTGAGTATAACTCCAAATCCAGACCTCCATGGATTGCTAAATTTGATTCCCATTGATAATTTCTGTGTGATTGTGTTGCCAGCACATTCAACTATGTAATGAACGAAGTATTTAATAAGAATATTTCATTTATTCAGATCTAAGATGTCTTATTTTTGTGTTCCCATTATTTTTTTGAGCAGTGTACTATGACCCATAAACTCTGTATAACTCACAGTACAATAAAACATGTGAGATATCTTCAACTTCTCCTTTGCCACATATACATACCCGTTCTGCTATTGATGTTTTCTTATACCTAGAGCCTAATGGTGGGAAACATTGAGGGCAATAGAAGGGGACAGCAGAGAAGGAGGTGGCTGGATGGAGTCACTGAAGCAGTCGTCATGAGCTTAAATGGACTCCAGAAGATGGTAGAGGACAGGACGACCTGCAGGAACGTTGTCCACAGGGTTGCAATGGGTTGAACACGACTTCGCAACTAACAGCAAGAAGTCTCCCTTTATTTCTTTGTCGGTAAATATAAATTCAACACAAAATCTCCGCTGATGGAGCATCCATAACCCCAGGAAGCAAACTATTCCATTAATTGCCCTGTCAGAAAGTGTTTCCTTACTTCTACATCTAGACTTGATATTCGACATTCTCAACCAATTAACATGTGTGGGACTCTTCCAATTATTATTTAGCCGCGACCACCACACCTCAACAAAGTTATGGAAATTGGTATCTGTCTGGAGGGTTTTTAAAGATCATTTTCCCAAGCATGTTCCCTTAAAAACAACAGCAGGGTTGATGACGACCTCCCTTGATCGTTATATTTGGCGGTGTTGCAATTTCCCAAGGCAAAGTACCCGAATTGGACTCCTATGACCCATTGGGGATCAAGAGACACAGGACAACAAGAGAGATGAACTTGAAGTAAAAAAAGTAGTGTTTGCTTACCTCGTCTGGCGTGGAAAAGATTCCGTAGGGCAGGTTTTGAATGGGGAAATGGGAATTCTCGTCCACTTTAATAAAAGACATGCTGCTTTGATCTTTCAGGCACAACGGAGAGAAAGAGATTTCCAGATGTTGCTAAACCCCTGGCGGGCCCCTCCTTTTCCCCCCCAATCTGAAACAGCCAATCAGTCTCATTTCTTCTATCCCACCCTCACTGAATTTGCAATCTACAAAACCAGGAAGTTAAACAGTACCAGATTTGCACATGACGTAACAGCAGCCCGAGCTGCAGCCTCCCTCCCTCCTTCACTCAAATTCTTCCTAAATCCTTCTTCAGCAGATTCAGCCTAGAGAAATCAAAGAACAAGGATTTATGATGGCTGAGAGATGTATCCAGCCCACAGCTGCTGGATTATTGAGATGGGCACCATAGAAATTTAATAATCCTTCCCTCCCTTTTCTTTTCTTTTTTTAAATAAGTTTTGAGTTTTCACAAAAAGAAAAGAAATACAAGTAAAACATCTTTTTTGAAAGCAGCATAATCCCGGGTTACATCTCTTCGTACAGACACAAATTCAAGTTCATGCTCATTTTTATATTCCATTCCATATCTTATTACTATTCTACATTTTCTACATAGCTTCTCCCCTCTTTTAACTTTCTTTCTTTATTTTATTTATTTCATCTCAATTCAAATCATTGTACTTATATTCTTTGTCTGTCCTGTTTCAACTGTCTACTATCTTTTCTCATTAAACAAAATTTCTCCTGTAATTACTGATTGGAGTATGACGCCTTTATATCTTTCCCCTAAAATTGTAACACTTAATATAATACATAACTTCCATTCGGATTCTGCTTGGCACATTCTAAAACTACACAATGTATTCTTGAAAAAAGAAAACAAATTATAAATGTATAATATAATTAAAACAACAATCCATTCCAATTCAATTCTATCATCAATATTAATATTCATTTAAATCTTAACATTACTCTTCAAATAAATATCATACTTCTATGGGAACAATTATAAACTTTCCATAGTTAATTCCCCTCCCACTTATATTTTACAAAACATTGACTAATTAAAATGTTCCCGTTCCTTCCTAATTCAATTTTCTCATTTATTTTATTTCATTTATTTTATTCACAAACATTTCCCCAAACCACATCAACTACTTTATCCCTCTTTTTAATCATGTTGTTTCCAATTTTCTAAAATTATTTCTATTACAAATATAACAATACAATCTTATGTACCTTCCCGGAATCCCTTTTTCAGTTAGATTTTCACCATTATCTCTAAATAGGTCCTGTTTCTTTACATCTTGCTCCAAACCTTTGTAACTTCTCTTCCTTTCCTTCTTCCCTCTCTTCTTCTCTCTCCCCTTTTTGCCCCCCGTCTCTCCACCTCCATTTCTCTCTTCTGTATTCCCTTTTTCTGTTCCTTTCCAACATTATATCCACTTTTCAAATTATTTTTCCCTTCTTTGGCTGTTTTTTTAAATCTTAAATTCTCTGTTCTCTTTCCCCGCTTTCCCCTTTCTTCCCCACATAGAGTTACTTGTTCATTAAAGATGGCTTCTTCTTTGTCCCAGTCTTCTTGTTTTGCAGTCTTTTCTTGTTTCTTGTAGTTGCAGATCTCCATTTCTAAGAATTGAAAAACGAAGCCAAAAGAGCCCTTCCCTTCTTGTGCATCTTCTTTGTATTTTTTAAGTTTCATTTTCAATTCATCCAGAAGTGATGCCATTGTAAAAAAATTTAAACAACCACCCAATTGGTTTTAGTCATTCAAATATAATAACCAAAAATCCAAAAGTCACCAGACAATCCAAATACACACAAGCTGTTTCTTTTTACACTTTCTTTTTTTTTTCACTTTCTCTTCCTGGAGTTACTATTTAGTTGCAAAATCTCAGTTAAAATGTATCTTTTAGAAGTCTTGTTGAAGTTTTACTTTAGATTCTTTTGAAGTCCAAGCAGTCTCCTCCCTCCAAGTCCTGCCCTTATTCTTTTCTTCTCCCTTCCTGCTTATAAAAGTTTTTAATGTCCAGAAATCTTTACTGTCCCTTTGGCATTTAGTTGTATTTTCAGCTTAATTGCCTATTGATGCCAAAACAGATTTTTCCGATTTCTTATTCCGATCTCTTAGTTGTCAATGTAAGGAAGGAGAGAGAAGAAAAAAAAACCTTTCCCTTTTCACTTTCTTTCGCTGCTTCCGACCTTCTTTGGGAGCGATGTTATCTTTTGTAAAATTTAAGTTCCAAGGTACCTTAATTGTTGTTTTTTCAACTTAACCCGGTCAGCCAAAACTTTCACTTATCTTCCTCCTGCACTTTATTTTCCAGTTGAGTTCTTCTTTGAGGTGGCCATTTCTGACCACCGCTCCTACCGCCTTCAAGCCATCAAGAAACTTTGTTGAAGGATTTTACTTTTTGTAATGCTACATTAACAGTTTGAAACTGGCATGGTGCCTTTCAGGTTTTCTGATAGAAGCAACTCCCTTCGAAGGTTAAATATTTTCAGGCAGAGTTCTTGCAATCCTCCATGTCTTTTGAAACTATGGATATTATTTTATTGTCTACAGGTAAGTTCATGAACGTGTAATTGAACTTTCATTCGGAGTTCTGAAAGAAACCCAATCTGGCCTAGAGGATAAAAATCTCTTGTAATCAGGAACCTAATTCTTTTTCTAGGCAAGGTATTTGAGCCAGGAGTAGCCAATCAACTCATTTCCCTTGGATGAAACAGATTTTCTAGATCAATTTCCACTTGTGTTTGGGAGGGGAAAATATAGAACCAAAAAATTTTGGACACTCTAGGGACGATCTGGGCCAGCAAAAGCAAGACTGTGACCCTGTTGGTTACCTTGAACTTCTCAGTGACTTTCAACTTCAGCCACAAGATCCTTCTAAGTAGGTTCCAGAATTAGTAATGTGGTATATTCTATTGAGAATAGGAATAGGATAGGATAGGTATAGAATAACAGAACAGAACAGGAGCTGGAAGGGATGTTGTAGGTCTTGTGCAAGCAGGGGACCCTATACCATTTCAGACAAATGGCTGTCCAGTCTCTTCTTAAAAGCCTCCAGTGATGGAGCACTCACAATTTCTGAAGGCAAGCTGTTCCACCTGTTAATTGCCCTCACTGTTAGGAAGTGTCTCCTTAAAAGGTTCTTCTCCTACTTGGATACTCTTTTCCAGAAAGTGGGGTACAACTATTATATTTCCTGGTGATTGGGCTTAGTGTGTGTGTATCCCCACTCTAGGCTCCATGTTGTCCTCTATACTTGTATCTTTTCATCTAATGCAGGTGAGGTGGTTGAACCCCTGGATCCACTGCTTGGTAGTGTAATGGACTGAATGCTGGCTAATAAAACAAGACTCAATCCCGTGTTTCTAGAGGAAGAGTCAGTCCAGCTGAGTAATGCCCTACCATCCTAGAGGGGTGTTGTTTGGACTAGATGACCTATAAGGTCCTTTCCAATTCTGATTACCTGTTATCTGTTAGGGATGGCTTGCTCTAAGTTGTTGTTTGCTCCATCATTGTTACCAAAGTCCAGAACATAGAGGGAGGTTTGGCTGATTGTGTTTTCTAATCTCAGAGCTGTTCAGCTATTGGGCGGTTTAACATTTTAAATAAATAATGCAAAGCCATTAATAAAACTTTACAAACAAGAACTGGTTCGGTTTACCCAGCCTAACCTAAGCTAGAAACAAACCCACTATATGATGACTTGCTGTGATAGGCAACTTTTTTTGGTACATGCACATGGCTTTCCTTGTGGCATATTATACAGGATCCTCTCGGATTGAGTTGGTTAGAAATGTTGATGAATAAACAGCATTTTTGCAATGTATAATGGAATACACCCAGAGGCATACACAAATAGTCAGAACCTATCAAAAACAGCTGGTAAAAATGAAAGAGCAGGCAAAAGCAGGTATTATCCACAAGTAAGGATTTTGTCATCCATTCTCAAAAATGTTTCTTTCAAAGTAGTACACAAATAGTCAATCCTGTGTCATTCTTGAATTCCTGTTAGTCGAAGGGCTATAATTTCCTTACAAAAATATGCATTTCTAGAAATGGAACAAAGCAAATCGTAATTCATTACTTATAAGAAGTACATGTTAAGGGAATCTGGCTTCCTTGTTGACTTTGCTTGCAGGAAGGTGGCAAAAAATCATGACACGACTCTGGGACACTGCCACTGTTGTAAATACGAGTCGGTTGCCAAGTGTCTGAATTTGGACCATGTGACCCCGGGTGTGATGACCCAGGGTGGGATACAAAAGCAACGAAGTCACAAAAACAGGTGAAGTCCCTTTAATTCCTTCAACTTGGCTTTAAAGGTCCAATTATCATTGACTGGAGAAAAAACTCCCCCACCAACAGTTGCGAAAAGGAAGAACTTCCATTCAAACTCAAAATACATATAAATAATAAATAGAAAAAATATAACACAAACCACACTGAAGAATTAATGAGACAAGGCAGGATAAGGGCTGGAAGACGTCCACAGATATGGAAATACACACATTGGGAAGGATGCCAGAACTCAAGATAAGAACTGACAGACTAGAAATATTTTCACACTTTGCTTCCAGCCCTGGTCCATGCACAGTTTGTCCTTTTAAACAGTCCTCATAGCTGCAGCCCATGAAGGGGATCAAGGCCCTTTCCTCCCCCACAGACCACGCCATTCACGTTTCTCCCTTATCGGCTCCTCTCTGCATGCTCTAGGATGAAGAGGGGATGGGCCTGGGTCTTTCTCTGAATGTCCAGCCGGCCTGTGCCCTTCCCCAGTTTCCTCCACAACCTCTGGAGCCACACTCCCACTCCCTGTCGGAGTCAGATTCTAACAGGGGCATGACAACAGGGATGTTACAATGGTCGTGTGAAAAATGATAATAAGTCACTTTTTTTCAGTAACTTTGGTCATTAAACGAATTGTTTTAAGTCAAGGACTACTTGTATAAGTTTTTAGTATGGTGAACATCTATTGGTTTCCAATGGGAGGGCAGGTTATCATATCCATTCTAAATTCCCCCTTTCCTTTCCTTTCTTCTCCTTTCCTTTCCCTTTTCTTTTCTGATAAAAGGAAGTCAACTCATTAAAAGGCTGTAAACTGTTGCAGGTTAACCAGTGTCTG